TCTTCTTCTTCTTCTTCTTCTTCTTCTTCTTCTTTTTCTTCTCCTTCTTTTAAATGAGTTTTCAATTAGGACACACAAAGTAATAGATTTTACTCAAGCATCTTACACACGAACCACTAAGCTTTGTCTCATTGTTACCCCTCTCTGCCCTCTCTATTGTCCCTTCTCTGCTGCCAACTACTTTATTTCTTCACTGTAGTTGGTGCCCACTTTTGCGTTTCTCTCTCTCTTTTATTTGTGAGCAGTGTGTGGTGCATGTACATGAGGCTGTGTGTACACACATGTGGAAACCAGAGCAAGGTGTCAGCTGTCTTCCTCTACCCTCTACGTCATTTCTTTGAGATAGGATCTATCACCAGACTTGTTCCTTGCTCTTTTGGTCAGGCTGGCTGAATGCTGAACTCTTTCTTTTTAATTATCTTTTTTTTTTCATTTATTTTACTGACTACAGTTTCCCCTCCTTACTCTCTTCCTGTCCCCACAGCCCCTGCCTCCATCTAACCCTCTCCCTATCCACTCCTCCTGCATCTCCATTTTGAAAAGGACAGGCCTCCCATGGGCTTGAACAAAGTATGGCATATCAAGTTGAGGCAGGATCAAGCTCCTCCCCCTGACCCCCTGTATCAAGGCTGGGGGCGATAATCCAGCATGGGGAACAGATTCTCAAAAGCCAACTAAGCATCAGAAAAGATCCTGATCTCAATGCTGGGAACCTTAACAAAGAAACCAAGGTACATAACTGTCACACACATGCAGAGGGCCTAGGTTAGCCCCATGCAGGCTTGCTGACTGCTGGTCCAGAGTCCATGAACTCCCATGCACTCAGGTTAGCTGTCTCTGTGCGTTCCCTCCTCATGATCATGATACTCCCCCCCCCATCCCCAACTTGGCTCATAGAATTCCTCCTCCTTTTCTGTAGCACGACTCCCAAAGTTCTGCCCAGTGCTTGACTGGACCACTCAGCTCTCGAGATTCTGCTGTTTCTACCCCAGCATTGAGTTACAAGCATGTGTAACTATGTTTCTATGTGTGCTTGTGTGTATGTGGAGGTTGGAGATTTGAACCGAGATCCTCATGCTTACAAAGCAAGTATGTTTATCTACTGAGCCATTTCACTAGCCTTTTGTCTTCTTCTTCTTCTTCTTCTTCTTCTTCTTCTTCTTCTTCTTCTTCTTCTTCTTCTTCTTCTTCTTCTTCTTCTTCTTCTTCTTCTTCTTCTCCTCCTCCTCCTCCTCCTCCTCCTCCTCCTCCTCCTCCTCCTCCTCCTCCTTCTACCAAATGATATTTATTTTGGTTTGTCAAGATAGGATTCTCTGTGTAACTATGACTGTCCTGGAGCTCACTCTACAGACCAGCCTGACCTCGAACTCACAGTGATCTGCCTGCCTCTGCCTCTGAAGTGCTGGCATTAAAGGCATGCACCACCACTGACTGGCTCAATTAACTTTAAATTAAAATATCAGGACAAGTGATGGTGCTTACACACCTTTAATCCCTGCACTCAGATCGCTGTTTAAGCCCATATGCGTTTTTATTACTGCTGCTTTTTCTCCCCCAAGACAGTCTCCACTGCTTCCTTATTTCATAATTTCATTACACTTTCAATTTCCTATCTCTCTCGAGTTCTCTTTTTCTCACGATCCCCTTCTTAATTTCAACACACACACACACACACACACACTCACACTCACACTCTCACACACACATTTTAAATGGAAGTTTCATATAAGAGTGAAATCCTGTGTTACTATCTCCCCAAGTTTGTCTTACTTGTTGTAATATAATGGTTTCCAGTTTTATCCATTTTCTTATGTGTGCCATGATTTCATTTTTCTCTCCAGTTGCATAAAGTTCCACTCTGGCTATGCACTACATTATCGTTATCCGTTCATCTGTGGATGGACATCTAAGCTGGTCTGGTTCAATGTCCTGGCTGCTGTGACACAGTGCACACAAATGCACAAGTCTCTGCTGTGTTGACTTAGAGCTTTCCAGCATTTGTTAAGAGGCTCTGTTCCTTTAAAACAAGACACATCGTATGCCAATCACTTTGTAGGTGCTATTTCATTTGCGCTCACCTTTGTAGCTTGCAATGCTTTTCAGTTTATGACTCTTGCATGTCACTTTTGATCTCCAATTTTTATTAGAAAACACCCTTCCCTGCCACCTCCTGATTGTTCCCTCTTTATGTGGTTCACTCAGGTCAGGATTAGTGTATGTTCTTCATAGACTATCTGGGAAGGGTTCTCTTAGCTTCAGAGGGCTGGGTGTTTCTTATCCTTTATGGACCATCGCCCCAAATGAATTTTCTTTGGTATTGTATTTAATTTGTCTCATCAGTTGGGTATGCAGGTGCATGCCTATGATCCCAGCTTTTGGGAGCTGAAGGCAGGAAGGTCTCAAGTTTGAAGTCATCCTGGGCTACATAGGGTCTTACTATGTTTAAAAGACTCGTAAGAGACACACCTATGTGATCAAGAACACATGGACTGATTGCTTTAATTATTTTTGTGTAGGTTTCCTAAATGCCTATTTCACTCAATAAATGTTTGATTTAATGAGTGAATTAATGTAACTGATGTTTAATAACAGACCACTACTGTTTTATAATTCCAGGTCCACCCAGCCACATTGTGCTCTGGGCCTCAGTTGCTGCTGCCTGCTTCCTCCTCTTCCTCCTCCTCTTCATCTGCCTCTGCTGGCTTTGTGCCAAACACAGTATGTCCCAGGAGTCAGTGTGTGTGTGGGTTAATCTGGGAGGGGGTGTATGGGGCATGGTGGATTCTAAGATTGATCTTTGTCTTTCTGTAGGGGCCACTAATGGTGAGACCAGGAGGCAAGTGAAATATAAGAGGTGGGTAAATTTGGACTCTCCCAGTAAATACATCCCTGCATCTCCATAAGGTTTTTGTCTGAGTACTGGGGATTGAAGCTACTACCACTACATACTCGACAAGCACTCTATCATTGAGCTACACCTCCAGCTCCTAAGAGTTCTATTTATGTGTAATTTCTCAGGCACACTTTAATGTTTCCACTTCTTTTCACTCAGGGCCAGCCCAGCCATGGACATGGAGGAAAAACATAAATGTAAGGAGCCTTGTTGTGAAAATGGTTGCGTGTGGTCTTAGGATGCTTGTGGGCCTCCAGAGAAGAGCAGAAGAGGTGGGAGGGTCCCTCGCTGTGTGATGTTGCTGTCTTACCCCGGGGTTCTGTTGGTCATCTGTGAAATATAAAACACAAAATGGTATTATTTAAGGGCTCTTGTGACACAGGCACACCTTCTCACCTTTCCTTCCAGACGGTGACTTGGAGGGCATTCCGCCTGAGGACTGTAGGAAGGTGGACACACAGGTGAGCCCTCCCCACTGCCCTGCTCTCCTCCAGAATCTCACCTGGGGATTCTCTTCATAGTTTGTGTCTCACAATGGCAGGCGTCTGCAGCAGAAGACACACAGGAGGTGACTTATGCCCATCTATGCCAAGAGGTCTTGACAGAGAACATGGATCCACTTCCCTCCAGTACCACTCAGGACACATCTACGCAGACCTGTGTGTATGCCAGCCTCATGTTATCCCAACAGGAGAGTCAGAGCTAGGTGTGCAGGTGTTTCTTTAGCAGAGGGTGGATCCATGAATGATGCTGCTCATGTTTTTCAACTCAAGCCGTTAGCACAGAGTACCAACGAACTCAAGCATGGAGAAGCTTAATTGTGAAGGAACTCTGGAGCTCGTAAACAGTGCTCAGCAAACTTCTGATTCCTTGTGATTTGCTCACTCACTGGTGTACCTGTTCACTTAGTAAGACATGGTTTCCATCATCTAATGAAAGAGGCAAGCTGTATAGTCTGGACCCCTGGTGTTTAGTGTCGCAGAACACCTCAACAGTGAGATCCTTAATCTTGGCTGTCAAGTTGATAGGTTTTAGAATCACCTGGGATACATACCTTGTAAGTGTGTCTTTTAGAACTGTCCCAGAGATGTTTACCTGAAGTGGAAAGACATATTCAGAATATAGGTGATACTGCTTTAAGGGCCAGGTCTTAGATTGAATAGAAAGGAGAACCTAAGTGCAACATCACCACTCACTGACTGATCTCTCTCTGCTCCCTGACTATGGAGGCAGAATTATCAGCTGTGTCATGCTGCTGCCTCTATACCTAGAGGGACTTTCATTCACTGTGTCCTCACATCCATGATGGATTACACCTTCAAACTAAGTCAAAATAAATCTTTGGTAATGATTGCTCTCAATTGTCAGTTTGAGGAGACAGAGCTTCCTGGGAGACAGACCTCTTCACATGCATGTGAGTGATTATTTTGATTAGGTTAACTGACGGTGGATAACCTGTCACTGCATTTTCTGGGTTGGGATTCTGGACTACATAAAAAAAGGAAATAGTAATTTGAACACAAGTATTTATCACTTTCTTCTTTTTGATTGTAGATGCAATATGTTAGGTACCTCAGGTTCCTGCTGACATGACTTCTTCACCAAAATGTAACCTTGGACTCTCCCCCAAGTTGCTTTTTGTCAATGTGTTTTTATCACCAAAACAGAAAAAGTAACTAGGACACCCTCTCTTCTTCAACTCCATTTTATCACAGCCACCAGAAAAGTAACTAATAGAGGAGGTGAGGAGGAGGCAGTCACCCGCTAGAGCATTTTCAATGAAATTTTTGGTTTCCAGGTGGGTAAAGGCACTCAGGTTTACTTAAGGAGACCTCCAGGCACCAGGGAGAAGGAAAGATTAAAGAGAACTCTTGCCATCACTTGGCACAGTGAATAATACTGAAGCAAGCATGGGAGTTCAAGAATCTTTATGAGGTGGTGATATTATTTTACTTGTGCACACAGAAGAGATGATTTGTGTAACACAGTAGACAGGTCTTTTCAAATTTATTTCAGAACCCCTGTACTGCTTTCCCCAAAGGCTGCACCAATCTAAATTCCCTTCAACAGTGTACAAAGATTTCCTATTCTTCACACCCTTGTCAGCCATTTGTCACCTCTTCTCTTTGGTGATAGACATCCTAATACGTGTGAGGTGATATCTCATGGTGACTTTGGTTAGTATTTATAAGATGGTTGGTACCAAACACCGTTCTGTATACTTGCTGGGAATTTTACATCTTCTTGAAGACAAATAAAATCAAGATTTTTGTCCATTTTATTTTTTATTACTAAGCTTTTAGTTAGCATATAAAACAATCTGCTTTATTATGACATTTTCACATATATACCATTGTACTTTGTTCATACTTCCTCACCATTATCCTCTTGTGTTTCCATGTCTACAACTGGTCCACTCTCTCACCGCAGTAACGATAGAGTGCACTCACTACTTATGGTTATTATGTACAGCACAAGAAGGGGCTAACTAATTCCAGTGGGAGATCTCTATAAGGGAGAAATACTAGTCATCATGGAAGAGGAAGCTGTGGCTGCTAGCTTTTGCCCACGCTGCTGGTCAAATAATTTATAAACAGTCTTACTTGGACTAGAGGAAGGCTTTTCTATCCCTCTGGGCCCTACCTGGGGAAAGCTTTGCCATTTCCGTGGTTTGGAGGCATTGGGGTCCTTGACATGGATGTGTCCATGCCAACAATACATATTTACTCGGCACTTCATCTGTTCCATATGATTAATTTCGTCATTTTCATATATGAAGTTTTTAAAGAATAAAAATTATAACAAAACAATGCTTTCAATAAATGTTGACAAAAGAAGGTAGGAAGTAGGCATGGTGATGAAATGGCTAAGTTGATGCCACCTTGTCCTTATTCTATTTTGTGTCTGCCTAGCCGCTCATCAGCCTTCACTCTCATACCCAAACATAGCCACATCCACTTTGGCGATGCTTTTGGGACTGTTCATGACTCTGACCCTGGGCCAGATGGGCTAACTGGTGTTTGTTTATGCTAAAACATTAAACTAAAATAACTAAAAGGAAGTGTAAATCAGAAATAATTTTCATGTGGTATCTGGAAAACACCAAAGACTCTCTGCAAAAACATAGATGTTTCCCTCAGTAAATTTGGAGCCTGGGAGGTCACCGGAGAGGACAGAAGGGGAGAGGGGAGGAAGGAAGGGGAACGGAGAAAAAATGTATAGCACAATAAAAAACAAAACAAAACAAAAAACCAAAACCAAAAAAACAAAACCTCATAGATGTTGCTCAGACCCTCCTCAAACACTGATATAATTGTGATTTTTGTCTTTAAAAATACTGTACCCCTGAACTTTGACATCAAGAGACTCTGAGGGATGAGCCCTGATCTTGGCTGCTGGTTAACAAAAGGACCCACACACTTTGAATTGGCTTTGTTAGTGTGGTTGTCAAGATTTGTCTGTCATGGGTCATGTCAATGCCTCGCATCTGCAGCCTCAGCTGCCACTTGAGGTAAGAGGATTACCTCTAGATCAAGGCCAGCCTGTGGACACAGTGAGTTTCAGGTCAGTAGTGAGCTCCCAGGTCTGGTCAGATGACTCCCTGGGTAGAGGTGCTTGTTGTTAAGCCTGAAGACCTGGGTTTGATCCCTGAGATCTACATGGTAGAAGGAGAGGACTGACTCTTGAGTAAGACCTTGCCTATAAAAATATGAAGAAAGGGGAAAGGAGGGAAAATGGGGTAGGGGAAAGGAGGGGAAATGGGGGAGAAGTTATAAGGGAGGAACTGGGAGGTAGGTTTGATCCAATCACATTAGATACATGTGTGAATAATAAGCAAAATATTTAGAGAGTTACCAAGGAGAAAAAGAATGAAAAGGAAGCTGAGAAGAAGGATGGACGCAGGGGCAGTGAGCTGTGGTGAGCTAGTTTTGGGAGGGGTACAAGAATTAGGAGAAACCGAGAGCACAGTGGACGCAAACTGGGGATGGTGGGGAAATAGTGCGGCCATTTCTGGGGAGGGAGAGATGATTGGCAAGTGGAGGTGTATCTTAGACTCTGCTTCTCAATCTGTTAGCCTCACAGGGTGCATGTATCTTGTAAATTGTCCGTTAAGAGAGGAGAGAAATGCAAGCTCATATGACCATATTAGGGTAATGTTCAGCACCGTTGGGAACTGGAGAAGTGAAAATTGTAGAACTGGGTGTGGTGGCACCTAGGTGTAATACCAGCACTTGGGAGGTGGAGGCAGGAGAATCAGGAACTTGAGGTCACTGTTGACTACATGTTTTAGGTCAGCCTGTGGTACATGAGACCCCATGTCATAACACCACCATTATCAACAGCAGCAACAACAATAACAACAGCAAAATTCTTTTAAAAATTTTACTTAAATATCTTTTTTTTCATTTATTTTTATATACTTACTGCAGTTCCTTCCCCCCTCCACTGCTTCCCATCTACCCCTCATTATCCACTCCACTCCTCCTCTGTCTCCATCCAGAAAGGGGAAAGCCTCCCATGGGCTTGAACAAAGCATGGCATATCAAAGTGAGACAGGACCAAGTTCCTCCTTTTGTGTCAAGCCTGGGTAAGGTAATCCAGCATTTTGTTCCCCAAAGCAGCTAAGTGCCAGGGACAAGTCCTGACCTCACTGCTAGGAGCCTTATTAAGAGACCAAGCTGCACAACTGTCATACACATTCAGAGGGCTTAGGTTGGTTCCATGCAGGCTCTCTTATTTTTTGTTCAGAGTCCATGAGCTCCCATGAGCTTTTGTCAGCTGTCTCTGTGGGTTGTCCTCTTCATGACCTCCCTGACTCATACAATCACTCATTTCTTCGGGAGTACTTCTGGGGATCAGCCCAGTTCTTGTCTGTGGACCTCTGCATCTGCTTCCATCTGTTACTGGATAGAGCATCTCTGATGACAATTAGGGTAGTCATCAATCTGATTACAGTAGATGGCCAGTATAGGCCACCTCTCCACTATTGCTAGGAGTCTTAGCTGGGGTCATCCTTGTGGATTCCTAGGGGTTTCCCTGGTGCCGGGTTTCTTCCTTATCCTGAAATGCACCCCCATCAAGATGTTCCCTTTGGTACAATACTCCTCTGTCCCGCTCCAACCCATTTCCTGTGCCCAGCTCATTCAACCCTCTTCCTCAAGTTCCCAGATCTGTATCCCTCCAGCCTTGTCCCCAGATTACCCAGGAGTTCTCTTCTATTTCCCTTTCCCATGGAAATCCACGTATCCTTCTTTGGGTCCTGCTCAACAGCAAAATTCTAAAGTTGTAGAAACAATGTGATATTATTTCATAACAACTATGTGGGATTTCATGGTATTCTCACATTTGTATGTTGAAATCCTAACCTTTGGTGGTTTAGAATGTGAGCTTATTTAGAAATAGGTTGTGAAGGTCTAACTAATATAGTTAAAATGAAGTGCTAGTGGAATATAGTGGAAGCCTAATCTGATATAACTGGTTACCTCATGAAAAGAAGAAGTTTGGACATAAAGCATACATACAATATGCACAGCAAATACACACCCCCCTAACAGTGTGCGCGTGTGCGCGCGCGCGCACACACACACACCACATATAAAACACAAACACCACACAGCAAACACAGAAAGTATATACACACACCACAAGGAACATATACACTTAGCCTACACATCAAGCACACACATATACAGGCACCAATACCACACAACACAAAAACATAACACACACACACATACACACACACAAATGCCACCATTTTACAATGAAGACAAATACTGGGTCAACACATCTATAAACAAAGAAGTGCCAAGAATTTCCCGTATCTGGGGTTGGTGGTATTAGAAAAGGGGAAGATAGACTCAGTTAGAAGAACATAGTCTTCTTTGAAGGAACTAACCCTCAATTTCAGACTTCCAGTAAAGTTTAGATCATGCAGTCTACGGCAAGTTCACAGACTGATGTGCCCTCAGATTGGCAGACCTTAGAAGGCTGGATGGCCCTGGAGTGTATGGGGGAGGTACAGCGACCTCATATTCTGCTGGAAGAGAAGAAGCTTGTGTGTTACTATTTATTTCAACAATAATGATAACAACAATAAATAATAATAATAATAGGGTATATGTGTGTATGGACATATTTGCGCCAAGGTTCATATGTGGAGGTCAAAGGGAAACTTGATGGAGTTGGTTCTTTTTGTCCAACTTTAAATTGGTTCTGCAGATCAAACCCAGGTCCTTGGGTTTGCATGACAAGTGCCCTTACCCACTGAGCTAGGGATTGGATGCAGGTCACCTGGCTTGGCAGCAAACACTTTTACCTACTGAATCATCTGTCAGCCTCCAGCGTGTATCAGTTCTTAAATGAAATTTAACATCAAGTGAAGTGGACTTAACAGTTCGGATTACCATGAGGTAATTCTCTCCTGGGTACATAAGCTGTGTTTAGCATACTGGTGTGCCATTTCATTCAACCATTTCAACCACGGGTTGCACATGCAATGGTGGTCCTATAAGATTATAATAGAGCTGAGACATCCCTATTGACTACTGAAATTAGTCATTGTAGTTTGGTGACTCAGTGTATGCACATTTTAATAGATCTACTGCACTGGTGCTCACACAATAGTATAGCATGTACCCTTACTTTGTATTGTTAGAACAATTCTTTGTGGTAATCCACCACCTCTGGCTCTTATAAACTTTTTGCCCCCTCTTCCATGATGGTTTCTGAGCCTTTTGAGGAAGGGATGTGATATAGCTAATTTTTTTTTTTACTTTAAAAATTACATTGCAACACAGTGGATTTCATGATATCTTTATACAAATGTATCATATACTTTGCTCATATTTACCTTCATTACTTTCTCTAGCTATCTCTTACTGGCTCCATTCCTCCTCCAAATGGTTTCCCTTCAACTTTCGTGTGATTGTATAGTGGAGACAGTCTTATGTAAGTACATTAATGGTGCGCATAGAGTGATGGCCAATTGTTGCTTACAGTAAAGGTATTTGCCGGAAGCAAAGACCTGTATTTTGATACCTGTATTTTGTTTATGCCATCTTAAGTTCACAAGTAAGATATTCACCTTTGCAGGGCAAGTTCCAGACCTAGGAAATTAACCTAGTGAGACCCTCAGGCCCCAGGCTTTAGAAGCAATTAGCATTTCCTTTGTTAGTTCACAGTCACAGACCTCAGTATTTCCCTACCAGCTAGGGATGTCTCCAGACCTAAATTCCAGCATCCTACCTCGCCTCCCCCTTGCCTGTTTGCTATATAACAGCTCCTGAGGAATAATAAAATGGGAAGCTTGATGAGAAAGCAAGATTTGCTGTCATTTCTCATGTCTCTTGTCCCCTCCATTCCCTTCTCTTCCAGGTTTGTCAGGAACCCCAGTTCATGTCCCACTTGTCGGGACAGGTATTTGGATATAATCTGTCTGGTTATTCTTGGTAAAGTTGCAGAGCATACTGTGTTAGAAGTAGATAAATGTCCTGCAGATGTATAAGGAGAGGATAAATTCCTAGCATCCAAAGGACAGATGAATGATTTTTACACCACTGTGCAGTTTATAGTACAACATATGGGGCTGGAGGTGTGATTTAGTGGTAGAGTTCCTGCCTAGAACCCCCCAGTGAGGGGCTGAGGGTGTGATTCAGTGGTAGATAATCTGCATAGAATTCCCAGTGAAGGGCTCAGAGTGTGGCTCAGTGATAGAGCTCCTGCTCTAGAATCCCCCAGTAAGGGGTGGGGACATGAGTCAGTGGAAGAACACCTGCCTAGAATATCACAGTGAAGAGCTTGGGTTATGGCTTAGTGGTAGAGCACCTGCCTAGAATTCCCCAGTGAGGGGCTGGGGCATGGCTCAGTGGTAGAACTCCTGCCTAGGACCCCCCAGTGAGGGGCTGGGGGCATGGATCAGTGATAGACCATTTACCTAGAATCCCTAATGAAGGGTGTAGCTGTGACTCAGTGGTAGAACACTGGTCTAGAATTCACAAGTGAGGGTCTGATTATGTGGGTATGTTGTAGAGTGGAGTACCTGTTTAGTATCTGACAAAGAGATGCTTCAGATGTGGCTCAACATTAGCAAGCTTGCCTCAAACCTACCAGTAAGGGATGAGGCTGTGGCTCAGTGGTTAGAGCACTTACCTAATCCATGAAAGGCCTTGGTTCAGTTTGTAACATTGCAAAAAATTAATAGAAAATAATCTTACAAGACTTATTTTTGATGTATAAGTGGCAAGGTCACCACCAAAGGTGTGCTATGGTTAGAGTGTTATGGCTTCAGCTCCAGGCCCTGCCATGTGTTGACAAGATTCAAGAAGCAGATGCCAAGGCAGACCTTTTCCGACAGAGCTTGCACCACATTGTACTCTCTCCAGCAGGCACACAGGCTCCAACACCACCACATCCTCACAGTATTTGCTGGTTTTCATTTCTTATCACATATTCTGTAGTAATTTCCTACATGAGTACAACATATTAGATCATACCTATCCCCTCTCCTAGAACCCTACCACACAGCCCTCCCAACTTCACGCTCCTCCTTTCTCCTTCTTCTCTTCTTAAGATTTATTTTTAATTTATGTGTGTGTATGCCACATGTGTGCTGGTACCTGCAGAGGCCATAGGAGGGTGTCAGATTCCACAGAGCTACAGTTATAGGTGGTTGTTAGCCACCCAGTGTAGATGTCTAGATGTGAATTGGGTCCGCTGGAAGAGCGGCAAGTACTCTTGATCATGGTCATGTCTTCAGCCACTTTCTCTCCTCCTCCTCCACTTCTTCCCTTCCTCTTCTTTTTATAATCTCCTAAATCGAATTAGTGCTGCCCATGCACAGAGAGTTTCAGGGCCATCCCCTGAAACATGGACAACCCACAGTGGTCAAACCACTGAAGAAAGATGACTTTCCCTCCATCAGCAACCATTACCTGCCAAAAGCTCATCAATTAGGCTGGGATAATTTTAAAACATTAATTATGTGTTTGTATGTGAGTTTACATATATTTGTGTAAGTGGTGGTAGACCCCAGAAGAGGGCATTGGATTCTCTGGAGCTGGGGTTACAGGCAACCCGTTGTGGATGCTGGAAGGTGAGGTCCTTTGGGAGAACAGCAAGTGCTGTGCTTTTAACTGCTAAGCAGTCTCTCCACCCTCCAGGAATGAGGTATTTTTCACCCTTTGGAGTATAATGATCTTAGTAGGAACATATGTTTGGGGAGCACAATAAAGTAACTACCTACATAGCCACTCCATTAGGAGGGAAGGTTTTTTATTGTAAGCAAGATATAGAGAATATCCAGAGTAGAGAGGGAAAGAAACAGACTGGACATGGCAAGGGTTATGGAAGTGGGAATAGCAGAAGATGGCAGAGATACCAAGAGATAGTGGGGGCTTGGGAGAAATCTTTCTGTTATATAGAGAACAAATGGCTATACAGAAGGGAAGCCTGGAAAGGTGAGAAGGTCCAGGATGCCAGTGTAGGGCATTTGAAATGTATACTAGTTACTTGTGAATAGGGACTGACTGTAGGAGTCTGGAGGCCAGCATGGGCTTTGATATGCAACCATAGGCATATGCCAACGGAGAGCCATATCTCCCTTCTGTCAGAGGTAAGGGAGATGACTCCTTTTGCAAGACTGGAGCTGTCTCACAAGTTCCTGACGAATGCTGGCTTTTATCTAGCTACCTTCTATAGTATAGCTCAAGCTGGGCCAAGAGAGTCATACTGCCCAGCCCTCTAGAATTTGGGGAATTAGAGTGTCCTTTAAACCAGACAGTATGAAGTCAGACAAATGAAGTTTGGACCAGCCTTTCCCCAGTGACTACTAGGAATTTCATGGAAGTCTAGGACATGCATCTTGTTCCTGCAGGCTGACAGATGGTTGACATACAGCTGGCGAGAGGAGATAAGTGGTGGCTTCAAGAGCTAACGTGCAAGTCATTCTACTGAGGAGATGGCCCTGTCTTGATGACTCTCAATTAGGAAAGCCAGGGCTTGTAGAATCAGGAAGGAGGGAATTCTTCGCCCCATCACATCCTGTGCCTATGTTTCAGGCATCTACAACTTCCCTGCTGGGCCACATGGGTCAGGACCAGACTGTAGAACCATGTCTCCAGTCTTACCTGCTTTCTTCTATCTTGGTGAGTCCTGAGGGTTTACCTGGGAAGTTCTGTGAAACCATCTCTGTGTACAAAAGAATGAAAACCATCTTATCAGTGGTGAATCTCGGAACAAGAATGGGAAGCTATGAGGTTCCATTTGTTGGAAGGAAGAACAGAGATGTGATGCATTTGGGTTAATTGTTTTGATTTGCTTTGGCTTGGCCAGGACACTTGAACAGGTGTTTCAGGCCTTGGCACACTTCCCACCTTTATACTAGCAACACTAGGGCTGTTTTCTTTCCTCCCTTCCTCCTCCTCTATCCACTTAAAAGTCATTAATCATTTATTTGCTTATTCAGGTGTGTGTGTGTGTGTTCTTGTGTACCATGGAGGTCAGAGGGCGTCTTATTTCCTTCCATCATGTTATGTCTTGGGGAATCAAGCTCAGGTCATCCATTTTGGTGGCAAGCATCCTTACTTATTGAGTCACCTCATTGGCCCTCTTCTTTTCTTTCCTCTTCATAGCTTTCTTTTCTTTCTTCTTGCCTTTTAAAACTTTACACCTCTTTTCTTTTTCACTTGCTTCTTTTCTCCCCCTCTTCTTTCTCATTCTGTTTTTTCTCTTTATTTCACATTTATTTGTTCCCATGTGGGCTTGATAACATTTGGGATAGTTCACAATTCTAATCTGTCTGTATGTGCTTTGATAGCAGAGCAAATTAGAATCTTTGCCAAATGACACACGGTGGAGCATGTGTTTTTCTTGCCCACTTTTTACCACGCTGGTACTTTCTGGTTGCATCATTACTTCCTTATTTTATTAGAAGAACTTCAAAGAGGTAGAGTAGACAGGGGACTGTTGAGTTCTTGGGAATAAGAGGAATCCTCTGGATACAAGCAATCTGTCACTCACTCTTTAATACACTTATGCAATGCTTATTATGGGTTAGACATTATTCTGTGATGCCTTCTCCTTCCCTCTTTGTTTTTTTTTAATATAACTCAATTAATGCCCCATAGCTGAATGAGACAGAGTAATTGACCTCACTTTATAAGTAAATAAACTAAAACTTTAGAAGGTTAAGCACTTTGTCACATAGCAGGGATTCAAATATAAGCCAAGGAGTTTTGCTGCTATCTCTACATTTATTTTTCCAACATGAAAGACCAATTTGATGGTTTATTCTGCTTATGAAAATAATTTCTATGTTTTATAACAATTTAAATATCATGCATGTGACTGTTTCTGGACTCTGCTCAGTCACGGGTCTTTCTTTCCTTATACTCATGCCACACTCTTATTTTAAAATTGAATTTATCTCTATCTCCACACTTTAAAATGCTTATATTCTTTTGTAGGTGGGAGGAGAGACCTTTCTGTTCTTTTTTCATTGTCATAAAAGGTAAATATATTTATAGTGAAAGAAAATGTTTTGATAAATGTCCGCACATAAAATAGCTAACTGAAGCTAATTAACATATGCATTGCATAGATGCTAATTTTTTGTTTTTAGGATATTTATTATTTTGTTTTTACATCCCAACCAAAATTTCCCCTTCTTCTCCTCCTAGTTCCTCCCCCAACTCCTCTTTCTCTCCCCCATCTACTCCTTTTCCTCTGTGTCTCTTCAGATACGGGTGGACCTCCCATGGATATCAGTCAGCCATGGTATACCAAGTCGCAGTGAGACTAGTCTCCTCCTTTTCTACTAAAGCTGAATGAGGCAATTTGGTTGGAGGAATGGGTGCCAAAAGCAGGCTACAGAGTCAGAGACAGCCTCTGCTACCCCTGTTAGGAGTCTTACAAGAAGATCGCATATATTCTAATTTCTAAAATGATGAGAACATTAAAAAAATTCAGAATAAAATACTATGTGTTGCTATCTCTCAGCACTGAAAATACCTGTTGCAGAGTCCACGCTGGCATTTGGCTGTTCTCATCCTGCTCTCTACCCTAACCCTCTCCAGCTTATTAACTTCCCTCCCAGGTTCTCATCCCTATATAACCCTTCCATTTCAGCCCTGTGCCCTGTTGGTGATCTCTTGGTCTCTTCCCTCATCCTCTCTCTGGTCTGCCCCTTTCAACACACAGCCTCTTTTCTCACAGCCCAGTTCATTTTACTGGTCATGTTCAGTCTACTACTTTCCTCTCCCTGCTCTGGAAGCTTCCAGATGTTTTGGGCTGTACTCTCTCCCTCACATCTACAACAAAAACCTTCCTCTCAGCCATAAAATATGTTATTAATAACAAACGAACCATACACAGAGAGCATGTGGCAGCACACACACACAAGACCTGACAGGGTCAAGCCAGGCAGAGTCCCACCCCAATCAAGAAGTTATTTATAATTGATGTCCACTGACAAAGGGAAAATCAGTTTTCTCTTATGGAGTGTTTACTGGTAACATCATACTCCATATTTCAGGGTAGGTCCATGCTCTGGAGTAAATATAAACTCCATGCTTTGTGGGCTTTTTGTTTGGTATTATTTTTGACTAATTGCTTTTTGTTTGTTTGTTTGTTTGACTTTTTTTTTTTTAAAGCAAGACAGAACATAAAGTTGAGAGGACAGGGAGGTGAGGAGGATTTTGGAAAAATTGGTGGAGGGCAAACATGATCAAAATACACTGTATGAAAATTATTTTATTATAAAAAGTTACAGTCCCCTAACACGCACACATGCACGCGCACACGCACACACACACACACACACACACACACACACACACACACACACGCGGAAATTAACCAGACCCACAGACTACAAACTCAATGAACTTCTGTATAGTTAGTGTAGACATTCAGAACAGAAGCTGTGGAACTCAACATTGGATTTTACACTTTCACAATCAAATACGTTTTTATGCTCTTGTCTTCGTTAGGTTAGGGTTTTATTTCTGTGAAGAGACACCATGACCACGGCTACTCTTATAAAGGAAAGCATTTAACTGGGGAGGCTTACAGTTCAGAGACTTAGTCCATTATTGTCATGGCAGGAAGCGTGGTGGTGTCCAGGCAGACATGAGAGTTCTACATCTGGATCCTCAGGCAGCAGAAAGAGAATGCCACAGTAGGTGTGGCTTGAGCATCTGAAACTTTACAGCCCACTCCCAGTGACACACTTCTTCCAAAAAAGGCCACACTTTTTAATAGTGTCTCTCTCTATGGGCTTATGGGAGTCAGTTTTATTTAAACACCACACCATTTATTGATCACCCAAAACAAAACAAAACAAAACAAAAAAATCCATGACAGAATTAGAACTGGAAAAACAACAGACTTTATATCCTCTTTCCTGACTCATATCCATCAGCTGCATCCAGTTCTTCCTCATTCCCCAATATTCAGCCTTTCTCCCTCTCATTCTTCATGTTATATTGTAAACACATATATATTTGTTTACACATATACATATATTATTGATTTAATGCCTCATACCTTGCATTCTAAGTCATCCATTTTCCTGTAAATGTTTTGATTACATTTTTCTTTAGAGTGGAATAATATTCCATGAAATATTGTTGTTATTGTAGTCACTACCCTTTTCAATATAGCTCTTGAATTTGTCTGTCTGACTGAAATTTCTCCTCCTCTGATTACAATCTTCCCCAGTCCCTACCCCACCACCTATAATCATCATTCCATTTTCTTTGCTTTTATGAGTTTCCAAGTGCATCTTCTTTCCTGCTAGACTTGTCTGCTAGCATTTGGATCTGTTTACTACTAGATGTGAGGTCATGGGTGAGATACTGTAGGCTGATTACAAGACAGAATTGGAAGATGGTGGCTGTGAATCTAGACATCCAAATCTCCATCTTCATCAAGGAGGTCAACATTTGTTTACAGTATGTATAGAGTTAAAATTTTTACAGATATGAAAATATGAAAAGGAAAAGCTAAAGGAGCCAAGAACATGTGTATTGGGGGAATAATGGGATGAGTCTAGACAGGGTGGGGAGAAATTCTTGTTTTGACTTAAAATATATTTTAAGGTTTATTTTTTTACTTTTCATGTATGTATATTTATCCATATGTATATATGTGCACTATGTGTCTGCCTGATGCTCATGGAGGCCAAGAGAGGATGTTGGATCCCCTGGACTTAAGTGAGCCACTACACAGTGATGCTGAGACCCAGTCCTAGCTGCTTTGAAAGAGCAGCAAGTGCTCTTAACCTCTTAGCATTTTCTCCAGCTCCTTGACTCAAAATTTTTTATTTAAAAAATACACATAGTTATGCTAAGTGAAATAACTCAGACAAAGGAGTGCAAATACGGTGTTGTGGGATATTTGTACACTGTGTGAAGATGCATTGCTGTGATTGGTGTAATAAAGAGTTGAAATGACCAATAGCTAGGCCAGAGAAGATAGGTGGAATTTTCTGGGAGAGACAGGAAGAGCAGGAGGAGTCGAGGTTCATGGATTATGACAGCAAGATGCCAGGGAAACACTGAAGAGGTTGGACATATGGAACAGAATAGAGGTACCCAAGCCATGTGAAAAAACATAGGTTAACAAAAGCAGGTTAATTTAAGTTAGAAGAGTTAGTGGGACAATCCTAAACTAATGGCCAAGTATTTCTAATTAATAATAAATCTCTGTGCCATTATTTGTGGACTGGTGGTCTGATGAAAAAGTATTGCTACAATATAGTGTTTTCTCTCATATGGGGAACTTAGATTTAAATGTGTGTGTGTGTGTGTGTGTGTGTGAGTATGTCTGTGTGTGATTGTTATGTAGGTTTTAAAACCAGAGAGAGGATTATGAGAGAGTAGAAAGATATCTTAAGGGATATGGGAAATAGAGAGGACAATGGAATTTACATATTAAGAAACTGGGAGGGGCTGGACTGAAGGAAGGACTGTGGGAAGGGAGTGAATGAGTGAAGAGAACATAGTATATGTATGAAGATGCCACACTGTAACCCATTATTTTGTATGCTCGACTAAAATTAATTAAATATCATTAGTGACATTTAGTACATTATGATACAGTGCAGCCAGCACTTCTGTCTTCTTCCATGACATTCTTTCCACTCCCGAAGAAACTCTGCACTTATTGAACACAGACCCACTTCTATCATCCAACATAAGCGCTGGTCTGCACCTATGGCTTTACCTTTTCTGAACACTTCACGTAAGTGATATCGCAAACATTTCTTCAACTTTCAAAGAATGAGTTACTTGAGAATTTTGTGTGGTGTGTTCAGATCACATTCACTTCCCCCACAATCCACTACTTTTCACTATTCACACAACTTTTCTTTGTGTGTGTATTTTTCAATTTAAACCTATCAAGTAATTTGTGCTGCCCATATAGTCTTGGGTATGTGGGCTTCCATTGGATCATGATCAAATTATGGGGTGATGGTACACCCTTAAAGAAAACGAACTCTCTCTCCTAGTTAACTATCAAATGCCAGTAACTCACTGTTGGGACTTCATGCTCACCATTCCTCTCCTGACTGGGATTTGTTTTCGAGAGCCAGCCTTTTCCAGTTGAATGATATGCAGCAATGTCTTCTGAAATAGTAAAGCAATTATGATCTGGGTATGTAGGTCAGTTGAGTGACTTGCCTAGCATCGGTGAAGGCCTGGGTTCTATCCCCAGTACCACACAAAACCAGGTGTGGTGATGTATGTATATACAATCCCAGCACTCACGGGATGGAGGCAGTGGGATCAGAAATTCAAGACCGTCCTCTCTTACAGACCAAGTCTGAGGCCAGCCTGGGTTGCATACATCAACACAAATGTAAGATAATTATGATACAAGCTAATGCACGTGCATAGCTCTCCACTCAAGAAAGTCTCTAGCCACTGGTTCTTTTCCTCAGGGCTGTGTGTACTGCAAGCGATGCAAGCACAGAGTGGTGAGTACATCTCCCCAGTACCCCCAAGCCTCCCCAGGATTCAACTAGTAAGAGGTCATTGATGCTAACCTAGAGGCTGTGCTTCCCTCCCAAGGCCCATTCCCTAAGCCTTCACTCTGGGCTGAGCCCAGTTCCCTGGTGGCCCTGGAGCAGTCAGTCACTCTGAGGTGCCAGGGGCCTCCGGTTGTGGATTTATATCGCCTGGAGAAACTGAAATCTCAGAAATATGAAGATCAAAACTTTCTCTTCATTAAGAGCATGCAAATAAACCATGCTGGACGCTACCGCTGCTCATATCAGAATGGGAGTCACTGGTCTCCCCCAAGCGACCACCTTGAGCTAATAGCTACAGGTAACTGGAGGGAGGGATGGGGTGTTGTTGGTCTTGTGGCTTCAGCTCTGGACTTGGAGGGGTGAAAGTGAGGCATGTGGGTGCTAGATGTTAAACCCCTAAATTCTCTGGTGCTAGTGTTAGAATGAGACAAACTAGTCTTTGTTTTGTTTACTGAATATAGGGGTGGTGTCTCCAGAATAGTCATCAATCAAGACAAGTTATATTTTAATGTGATGCTAGAAATTAAAAAAATCATTCTTGGATAATTTCATGCCTGCAAACAATGAACTATAAATCATGCCCATCGCCTACGCCACACCTCCAACTCTATGCCATTTCTCCTAACACATCCCTTCCCAACTTCATGTTTTCCCCTTAAAATAAAACTCACTAAGTCTAGTTAGAGCTGCCTATCTTTTCATGGGTATGGGGACATCCCTGGAAAAGATTTTCCTTCTCCCAACAGCTGTCAGCTGCTGGCAACTCCTCAGTTAGGGAGGCCCTCTCCCTTCCAATATTAAAATACTGGCTTGATCTTGTATAGGTGTTCATAGCTGCTGTGAGATCATATTTTATAAATCTTCTCCATGCTTTTAATGTTTTCCTGCTCCCTCTTCCTCAGTGTTTCTTGAGTCTTAGAAGGCATGTACATTAAGTCTTCTGTGTAGGCCTGATCTAGATTGTCATGTATTCTCAGAGTTTGTTAAATTTTATTTTTAAAATAATTTTTTTATTTTACATACCAATTCCAGTTCCCTCTCCCTCTCCTCCTCCTGCTCCCCTTCCCTTTTCCCATTCCCCATCTTCTCCTCAGAGAGGGTGAGGCATCCCATGGGGAACCAACAAAGTCTGTCACATCACTTGAGGCAGAATGAAGCTGGCCCCACCCCGGAATCTAGGCTGAGCAAGCCATTCCTCCAAAGGGAATGGGCTCCAAAAAGCCAGTTCGTGCACTAGGGATAGATACTGGTTCCATTGCCAGTGGCCCTGCAAACTGCCCAAGAGAGGATGCCTTAACTGCTCTTCCCCTGTAATCAGACTGAGAACTAACCCAATTGTCATCATAGAATCTTCATCCAGTAACTAATGGAAGCAGGTGCAGAGATCCTCAGCTAAGCACTGGGCCCAGCTCTTGTATTTGCAGAGTTTTAAGCACCTACAGAGTCATCTCCACTGCGTGCTTCCTGTCTTTAACATAGTTTTCTCTCTTTCCAGGCGTTTATGGCAAGCCCACCCTCTCAGCTTCTCCGAGCTCAGCAGTTCCTCCAGGCAGGAACGTGACTCTGAAGTGCCGGACTAAACATGGTTTTGATCAATTTGCTCTACACAAAGACCAGGATACTGGGCTTTATAAGAAACATGAGAGATGGTACCAGGCTAATTTCCCCATCATCAAAGTGACTGCTGCTCACAGTGGGACTTACCGGTGTTACAGCTTTTCCAGCTCATCTCCATACCTGTGGTCAGCCCCCAGTGACCCCCTGGTGCTTGTGGTTACAGGTAAGTGGGTCCAGATCCAAGATTCTTTTCTCTAGTATTTGTAAACCCTTGTGGAAATTTTGAGGGAGTCAGAGGTTTGGCCAACGAGAGCCTCCAGCTCCAGTCAGCTTTGGAGGTGTATGAGTGTCCTATAGCTGCTGTAACAAATCACAACAGACTCTCGCTGGCTCACTGTAATGTAAATTTATTGCCTTAGCATTGTAAAGGTCTCAAGTCTGTGAAAGGTCTCACCGTTATAAAATAAAGCTGTCAATTATTGCAGTTACAGTTGCATCAGGTAAGGCATATAACCGACCAGAGGAAAGTATACAGAAAAAAAAATTTCGCCTCTCAAGTGATTAAGTATTAATAAACATGAAAAAGTGCTTCACATCACTAGCACAGGAGAAGTGCACATTAAGATTTGTGAGATTCCAGCTCACCCCAATCAAAATGGTGGTCATCAATAAAACAAACAACAAATCCTGATGAGAAGGTGGACAAAAGTGGACTGTTATCAATGGTCACTGGGAATGGAAAAATAGTCCAATCACTTATGGAAACCAATATGGAGCTCCCTTAGCAATTAAACATGTATAACTCAGCTAAACATGTATCACAGAGACACTTGTAAACCATTGCTTAATTGTAACCCTGTTTGCAACAGTGAAGTTATGCAACCAACTTACATGGCCATCAACAGAGGGATGAATAAAGATATTAAATGTAATTCTTAAACAAAGGGATATTTTTTTAGCCATTAAGACAAATGTCACTTGTTTTCTCTCATTTGTGAGTCATAGATTTTATATAGATACATAAGGTATGGTTTCCTAGTCTGGTAGGAGTCTGTGGACAGCTTTAGATGTGTAAATCTCCACCAGTGTACCCTATGAAATTGTACTAGGATATACTTACTTAAGCCTGACCATATCTTCAGAATGTTAGAGTCACTGAATCTCTGCTTACTTGTTACTGAAAGTGACAGTTATCTGCAGCTATGGTATATATAGTGTGTGTGGTCATATGCTCACAGTGAGCCAGTACTCAATACAGCTCAACTGCTCACACTCATAAACCTGCCCATCCTGGGGTGATGGGAGAGAGGATGAGGAACTATTGATTGGAGGATCATATGCATATGAGGCCTTTGTGAAAGGTATTGTTTCCCTGATTTCTTCCTCAGACAATTTGACATTTGTATATAAGAAAGCTACTGATTTTTTAAGTTACTCTTGTATTCAGCCACATTGCTGAAAATATTTATCAGTTGTAGCAGTTATATGGTGGAATATTAGGGTCATGTATGTGTGCTATTATATCATTTGCAAATAAAGATACTTTGACATAAAAAAAATCTTATTTCTATGTACAACAGGAAAGCTGAAGCAAAACTATCTAGGGCAGTGGTTCTCAACCTGTGGGTCATGATTCCTTATGGAGGTTGAATGACTCTTCCACAAGGGTTGCTAAGACCATCATACAACCTACATATTTACATTACAATTCAGAACAGTAGCAAAATTACAGTTATGAAGTAGCCCTGAAAATAATGGTTGGGGGTCACCACAACTTGAGGAACTGTATTAAAAGGTAACAGCGTTAGGAAGTTTGAGAACCACTAATCTAGGAGAAGCAAGGGGACTAATGGGAGGGATGAGAAAGTGGAGGGAAGCAGGGCAGGGAAAATCTGTTCAAAGTACATTATATACATACATATATACATACATATGCATTTTCATATAAATACACAAAATAGCCTTACATAATGTAGTATAATAAAGAAACAGTTAAGGACAACAAAAAGTTACAAAGGTCTGTGGTATATAAAAGAATCAAATTAAATACAATGAAATGTATTGCTGAAATTTTCGTGGCAAAATCCCTTTTGCTTATTTTTTGGAAGCACTTTGGGTCTGTTAGCCTTAAATTGATTTGGACTAGTGGGTCACTCTTCGGTGACAAAATCCTGAGAGAGAGGACTGAAGATAGAGAAGACAAAGTTTGGGACTGGAAGTCTTGCACATGCTGTGACTTATGCCAAGCAAACCTTTTAGGAAGCCCACTTGGATAGTATTGTCAGGGGAGAAATGGGACAGAGAGAGCAGAAGCTATCATGCAATGAGATGAAAGTCAGCATGGGGCTGACCAAGCACTGTTACACAAAGGGAACACAGTGTCTCAAGATCATGACAGAGCGAGACACAGTGGCCTTATGACTGACAACTCCAGTTGTCTCAGTGGGGAAAGGCCAAGTTTCTAGGAACCAGAACTTTGACTCTTTTAAGGTTCTGGCCCCTAGTCCGGAGCAAGGACAAAGAACTAAGTTACTTTTGTCCTTTCTTCAGGGCATCTGAAAAAGCCCTGGGTCCACACTGCTCTCTACATTTTGTCATTGTGTCAAGTTGCCTGGGAAAAATTTACAGGAAGAATGATTTATTTTTGTTTATAGTGTCAGAGGCTTCACCCATATTCCTGGGGTCATGGTAAGGCAGAAGAACTTCAAGGCAGAAAGATGTAGTAGAGCAAGGTCGTTGAGCTTGTGGCAGCCAGGAAGGAGAATGATCATAGGAAGGGACTAAGTCAAGCTATACTCTCCAAAGACATACACCCTCAGTGACTGACTTCACATTCTCCCACTACCCAATAGCACATTCAGAATTTGAATCCATTGGTGGGTTAATCCATTGGTTGTGTTGGATCTTGATGTGGGATACCCCTCTGTATGCTGTGAATATCTTTTACTTTCGTTGGTTGATAAATAAAGCTGCTTTGGCCTATGGCAAGACAGGACAGAGCCAGGTAGAAAATCCAAGCAGAGAGGCAGTGAGAAGAAGGGCGGTGTCTGAGAGACACCAGCCTCTGAGAAAGCACGACATGTAAAATATAAGGTAGCAAGCCACCAACCATGTGGCCAAACATAGATAAAAATTATGGGTTAATTTAAGTTGTAAGAGCTAGTTAATAACAAGTCTGAACTAATAGGCCTAATAGTTTGTAATTAATATTAAGCCTCAGGAACTGGCAGGTGGGAGAGAAACCTCCAGTTATAGGCTGCTTTTTGATGTAATAGTCTCTGGAAATATTCTTATAGACACACCTATAGGTGTGTGTTCCTAGTTTCTTAGGTATCTCTCAATCTAAATAAGTTGATAGACAAGAGGTATCATACACTTATTTTAAAAATATAATAGTATAAGTAAAACCTGAAGGTTTTTCCTCTTTGATTCTCCAAACCAGAACTAATCATTGGATTTTCTTCTTTAGCAATTTTATTGTCTGGAAATAATAAGTCTGAGTTAAAATGATTAGTTCACGAAGAAAAAGAGATATAAATATATCAAAGATTATGAGACAGATTATCAGGGTGATTCATATGACATAGGGTCTTCTAGACATGATATGGAAGCTGCACCAATGAAATTTCGACAATATGCCCAAACAAAACAAGCATAATGGCAGCTCCAGCTGACGTTGCCAATTGAGAGAAATCTCACAAGGGCCCCCCACTAGATGACGAGTTATAGGTAATCAGTGGCTCCTAAGAGAGGGAGAATTTGTCTTCTCTGGGGACAAACCTCATGATAGGTTATTCAATATCAAGTGGACAGCCCTAAACACATATGTACATATGTACATATGAGCAACATTAAAGGTACCATTAGGTTATATGTTATATACACACAGTAATGAAGAAGAGGTCATGAATTTGAGATGGAGTAGGGGAGACATGAGGTGAGCTGGAGAGAGGAAAGTGTGGGGTGGTGGAAATGATATAAACATAGAACCTATGTATGAAATTCTCAAAAAACTAAATAAGAAATCACTGAACATGTAACAACATAGCAAGAATTATTTTACACTCATAAATTGCTGAGTTTTTACTTTTGCTTTATTTTTATAGTACTTTATTTTTTCTCCTTTAAAAATTTTATGTTTTAAACTCATGACCTGATGTATCCCAGACTGGTTTGAACTTACTATGTAGTGGAGGATAACCTTGAACTTCTGAGTACTGAGTTACAGGCTTCAGCTACTATGTTTGGTTTATGTGTTGCTGGGGATGGAGCACAGGGCTTTGTGCATAAGAAAGCTATTCCAACTGCATTGCACCTTCAGTCTACATTTTGACTTTTCAGTTTTGATTTTTCAATAGAATAAAGACAAGAAAGCATTATTAAAGAACTGAAATCCTGAATAGTTATAGATCATAAATATGATTTAAAATAATGAACAGAATGTATCTCTGCTAGGGCACATACTCAGCTTGCACAAGGCACCCAGGTTCACTTCCAAGTATAAAAAAATGTATGAATGAGTGAATAAATAAAAGGAAAAGGACTATCTTATGCTGTTCTAATAATCAGAATACTGTATACTGTTTTAAGTATTTACCTCCTCTCTCATTACATACTCCTTCTCACCTGTGATTCCTAATACATTTCTAAAACTTTACCCATGGTTCATGTCTCCACATATAATTCCTGGGGACAAGTGCCAGTCAAATGACAAATGACAAGTGAGGGGATAGGTGACAAGGGTCCATGGAAGACAAAGGTAAGAAAGCAACTGTACAATGTACCAGGGGAACAGGCCAAGCATGCTTTTCAATCAGTCAGCAGTGGGAGCTTCTTCATACTTATTTGCTACATGAGAAAAATCAAGTCACAGAAATGTCTCATTGTTTGTTCAGAATTCACAGTTAACAAACTTACAGGGTACTGACTTCTCTTCTTTTCTGATTTCTCAGGACCCTCTGCCACTCCCAGTCAGGTACCCACAGAGGTACCATCTCCCACAACAGGTGAGTTCAGTAGTTTCTGGTATCTGGGGAAAGAAGTTCTATAATGAAGGTGCCCTCAAATGTAGTCCCCATCCTCAAGAGTTTTATACTCACAGGCTTAATAGGTTCAGGAAACATTTTTGTTAAATCAATAGGCAATCTCATGTACAGATAATGGACTTAGGATAGAAGGAGCATCCTGAACAAGAGGTTAATAACTGGTCTCTTATGACACCTGTGTAAAACAGAGATACAATTCACATTCCATGTGCCCACTAAGATGGTTATAACTATACAAACACAAACTAACTAGCCAATCAACCAATCAACCAACAAGCTAAACAGTCAACAACCAACCAACCAACCAACCAACCAATCAAACAACTAGTCAATCAACCAACAAACATACCAGATAAACAATCAAGACACGTGTTGGAAAGATTTAGACACTTCTACAATATTGGGGGCTGTCAAATAATGTATATAATTTGAAAATTAGTCTTATAGTCTCTCAGAAGTTAAACAGAATTATCCCCGTGACCCAGTGATTCTGAAATTCTTAGAGTGGTACTAAAAAATTTGAAAACTTATTGTTTTAGTTACTTTTTTAATTGCCATGATAAGACAGTATGACCAAGGTAACTTATAGAAGAAAAGAGTTTACTTGGCCTTACAGTTTCAAGGGGTGAGTGAGTCTATGACAACAGATAGGCAGGCATGGCTCTGCAGCTGTACCTGAGAGTTTGCATTTTGATCTACAAGTATATGGAAGACAGGGAGGGGGAGAGAGAGAGAGAGAGAGAGAGAGAGAGAGAGAGAGAGAGAGAGAGAGAGAGAGAGAGAGAGAGAGAGATGAAAACTGGTGTGGGCTTTTGAAACCTTAAAGCCCACCCCAAGTGACATACCTCCAGCCATGAGGCCGTCCATACCTGTTAAACTTTCCCAGTTTCTTCAAATGGGGAACAGACATTCAAATATATGAATCTGTGGAGGGACATTTATCATTCAAACAATTTCACTTATGTTTACACAAACTCTTACGCTTGAATGCTTCTAATAGCATCATTCATACCAGCCCCAAAGTGGAAACAAGTTAAATGCCTGTCTGTTGAGATATGGTCCAATTCTATGAAGTCTTTGGGTACTAACCATGGCTGTTTGAATTGATTAATCTCAGTAGTTGGGCAATGCGTGTCAGATGAGAGAACTTTAGAGAACTCAATTATCTCAGAAGGGGTCTGGAGAGTGGAGCCACTTGGGATGAACTGTTATTACTCTATTTCCTTATAATATTTCTGCTTATAACTCTTAGAATCCCCCAGGAGATCTTCTATCTTACCCTCAACCAAGGTATCTACAGCTGGTAAGTAGGCATTTAAAGCTTAATGCAAAAGGAGCATGAGGATGGGTTTTTGTTTCCCAACAGCAGAATCTATAGACATTTTTCTCTGAGTCAGAATTTTACATAGCTAGTCTGACCTTAAGGCCACTATCTGGCAGAGGATGACCTTCAACTTCTGTTTCTCTTGCTTCCACCCCTTGAGTCCTGGGAGTGAAGACATGTGCCATTATGCTCCGTTTATGTGGTACTGCTTATGAAACTCAGGGCTTAATGTGTGCTAGGCAAAGCACTTAACCAGCTGAGTTATCTTTCTGACCCCCATATATGTTTTTTTTTTTTTTTGTGGCAGAGTCCCACTATGTAACCCTGACTGGCTTCAAAGTTGCTATGTGGACCAGGGTGGCCCCAGATTCACAAAGATTTATAGGCCTCTGCTTCCCAAGAGCTGGGATTAAAGATGGGCACTACCACACCAGGCCCACATTATGTTTTATATACACATTATATATAGCCTAAAGGCAATTTTACATAATACTTCTTTTTTTATTTAAAAATTGTACATACAGTATGTTATGATCATGCTCTTTTGTCTCTCCAATTCCTCCGGGTTTTGATTGCAATCTGTCCTATGAAGATTAGGTGTGGATTTTCTTCACTTGTGGCATCATGTCAGTGCTTGTAAATGTCAAATTTTGTAGTATTTCATATTTTGGATTTCCAGATTAGCAATGCTGAATCTGTGCTATTATGTATAAGTCGACCCATTGTATTATAGTATCAATTCCACTTGATAGATGATAAAATCGACTCACAGATGTTGAGATACTTTTTAGAGGTTCCTTATATAATAAGTGCTGTACAGGGAAGTCAAATCTGGGTAGCCTGACTCTATGGTTTTTGTTCTTGTTAAATGTCATGGACTTTTGCCTCACAAGCACATGAGAACACATGTTTATATCCAACAGCGGCAATGCTTCCACTTCTTTACACTCGGCCCTTTCTTCATTCTTAAAGAAGTCTATGAATATCACTGTCTCTCCAGAGGGGTGAAGTCCTTTATTTGGTAAATGGTCCTGTCTATACCCACTTCACTTGTATCCCATCTCTTCATTCAGAGATTTTCCCTGTACATGGAATATGTAGATCTGTTATCTCGGGACCTGGTGCATAAAACAAGGGAATTAGAATATTAGCATATAGAACTCAGAAATGATCAAGAAGGTTAAATGGGAAGGGTGAACATTTCCCAGTAGTCAAGTAAGGACATTTCCACTCTCCCTTATTCGCTTACAGTTTTCTTCTCTTATAAGCCATCAATATAACCAGGTGTTGATTGTCTGAGGAGGGATCATACTGGGAGTCTAGGAAGGGACTGATGAGAACATCACTTGATAGAGAACTGGGCTTCTTCAGTTCTGACTCTTGATGGGGGATGGAAGGACCCTATGGGAATGTGATGAACATCATAGCTGATAGAAGATAATAGAATCTCAATCAGGGATATGGAGTGGGGCCTGGAGAAGAACCTTTTTAGCGTTATTTTCATCTTTCCTCTTTTGTTTAGGGTTTTCCCACCAGCACTATGCCAACGGGAATCTGGTCCGGATATGCCTTGGTGCCATGATTATAATATTCCTAATGGGGCTTCTGGCGGAGGATTGGCACAGTCGGAAGAAACGTCCACCACCCAGAATCAGAGCTGTGCAAAGACCACTCCCACCCCTCCCACTGGCCTAGAAATAACATGACTTGTAGGATAGAGGTTGATCAGATGATCATAACCATGGGCACCACCATTAGAACCTCAGACACGGATATAAACAAAAATGGGTAGGTTTTATAAAGAATGTGTATGGAGAATGACTCAGTTAACAAGGTAGGATGGAGGGCCATACACCTTCTAGGTGTTCAATAAAACAGTGGAGCCAATGTCTTCTTTGCTCTAAGAATTTGTTATGTTATGGGAAAATTTAGGGAAGGTCTATCTTTTTTATATCTTGCACATTGTAGACCTCATAATAGACTTCTGTAATGGCATTTCTTCAACCTTATCTAACATGGATTCTAGATTGATTTATCTATCTTATACAACTGACCTGTTCCATCCTTTATATATCCAGTGTTCTCCGGTAGTCTGTGTTCTTCTATGGTAGTCAATAGATTTAGCCTTTGCCCTAATCTCATCTTAAGCCACAGTTGGATAAATCTTTTACGTTTTAGAATGGAAACCTGTTCTCCAGAAAGTAGGCTAGCGTGTTACTTTTCATTAATATATAATAATCTATATGATTTCCTTTTGTTTATAGCAGATATATTTCAAGACTCTAAATGGATACCTAAAAGTACCAAATCCTGTACACATCATGTTTTTCCTACAATATATTACTACATTCTGAAACCATTAAATAAGAGGTGTCTGATCAGGATCTCTGTGACAGTTGATCTGTTAAACAAGATGGCTATAACATCCTCATGAGCAGGCAGGCAGTGAATACACCTCCAAAAGGTTGATTCATGTCCTGGAATGTGATGGTGCAGGATGTCATGAGAGTTTATCCTGCTACACACAATTTAAATAGTATAATTTGCTTATTTTTAGAATTTCTCCACTTAATATTTTCAACCTAAGGTTGATCGCATGGGATGGAAACCATATAAAGCAAAACCACACATCAGGAGACACTCCCTCCAACAACAACAACATCAACAAAATAAACCACGTCTATGGTTTTCTTCATATTAGAAAGAGTCCTAACCTTATCTGAAAGGCCAGAAGAGTTAAATCCAGAGAGACTGGAAATAATTATTTCTGGAAGCTGAGAAGGGTAGTGGAAGGGAATGCTGGGATTACTACTTGATGAGTTTAGGACAATAAATTTTTAGTGTGATTGTTTTGGAATTAGAGGTGATGGTTTCTCCACATTGTCAGTGTGCTAAGACCCATGAAATGTTTCACTTAAAAAATCCAGTAAGGCAGCTGAGCAAAGTAGGAAGCGTCTATAATCCCAGTACTTTCCTTGAGTTCAAGACCAGCTTGCACTAATATAAGTCCCTGTCTCTGAAACAGATGCAGTCTTGTGACCTCAGACAACCGTAATGTACTGTGCATTGAAAGAGCACAGAATGATTTTAAATGTTGTCAACATAAGAGATATACTATTAAATATACATATGTATACCTCATAAAATATGAATTTTTTCTTTATGTTTGTCAAATGTTGATTTAGAAAAAGAATAATTTATATTATATGTCTTATACACCCAAAAATATTAAAAGAAAAATCTTTCTCTTTGTTACCCGTGGGGTCATCTCTCTTAGGATATGTGGGGTTATATTGGAAATGTTTACCACTTGGCTGTCATCAAGTCCTGACATCCAGCTGGTACCTTCCTGTAAACTGAAACTTTTATTTTGTTTGTATTTTCAGTCTTCAGATTATAGTATGTGTCTCTTAGGGACAATGGAAAGGGTGTCTGGCTAGTTATTAATGGATATCTATCTATCTATCTATCTATCTATCCATATACACAAATATATATGGAAAACTTTTGGGCTTGTTTGCATATTTATTTTGTGGTATTTTAGTTGAAACTTGAGACTTCCCACATGTTAGGCACATATTCTACCACTGAGTTATGGCTTTCTGCCCTAGAATTGTTAAAGTAGGTTGATCTATATATTTATAATAAGATAAATTGATGAGAACACATCTTTTATGGGGTTTATTCTGTTATTAAGGAGAATTAACGACAGAAAAATCCTTAAAAATTAGCTTCTAAAAGGGTTTTGAAAAAAGATTTGTTTTAAAATCAAGTGTTGTGTCTCATAGACGCCCAAGATTAGGGCTTCAGTCATTCCCACCTGAGTAGCCAGTCCCTCCACCTAGAGGCAGGAAGTTGACCTGGCTCAAGCAGCTTCTGAAGGCCATGTCTGGGTTCGTGGTTCATCTACAGATGGGGTCTGTGTGGGTGTCTGTGGCCTGTGTCACCTCAGGATGTCTTAGGAACCATGCAAGATGAAATCAGAGGGCCATGTTGACCTGGCTCTGCCCCTTGTAGGCCCTGGGAAATCTGGACTTGCCTCTCACTGGACACTACAGCAAGAGTGTCCCTGCATGTTGGAGAGATGGCCCCACCCATCAGCACAGCAAGGATGAACCAACCTTGAGGGCATGTACATAGGGGAGCTGTCTTTAACCCCTCTCCTAAGGCAGGTTTTCCCCAGGATCTAGATTGACCATGTTGGCTACCATCCAAGTCCACAGCTGAGCTGTGGGTTGACCCACCTTATCATCTACACCATCTAGTACCTAGTACCTGCTGAACCTGGTGAAGGAATTGACTGTTTTTGTGGAACAATATCCACAAGATCTCTAAGACTCATGGCTGTCACAGGATATCCCAGAGGAGTTCCCATGAGGACCCAGTGATGATGGTGTACTGTTGTGGGACAAATGTATTGGTCAATTATATTTTAAATAAATGCTGATTGGTCAGTAGCCAGGCAGGAAGTAAAGGTAGGACAACCAGACAGGAGGTATAGGTGGGTCAATGAGAATTCTGGGAAGAGGAAAGCTTGGTGTGCTGTTGTGAGCCCACCACAGAAGAAGCAAGATGTGACTGCCTCGCTGAAAAAGGTACCAAGCCATGTGGCTAGCATAAACAAGAATAATGGGCTAATATAAGTTATAAGAGTTTATAAGAAGCCTGAGCTAATGAGCCAATCAGTTTATAGTTAATGTAGACCTCTGTTTGATTTCTTTGGGACTTAATGACTGCAGGAACTGGGTAACAACAGTGTACCAGAAACCAGAGGCCTTGAACCTGACCAGTGACTCATTGTAATAACCATTTGCCAGTAAAAACTGATGGGACAAAGAGGTATACAGTATGGCACACTGAAACCTCCATTGCTACCAGGAGGAATGAAGAGGTGTTGGAGAAGCAGGAAGGAAAAGCAAAGAGGTTTTTCTGTTGGTGTGGTTTTGTTTTGTTTTTGTTTTGCTTTTGTTCACTTGATTGCTTACTTTGATTTGTTTCCTTTGGTAGGGGGCATGGCGGGGATGATGGGAGGATAAAGGGGAACTGGGAAGTGAACAGAATTGGGGTTCATGATGTGAAATTTCCAAAGAGTCAATAAAGAAGTTAAAAATGAAAAAAATTATTTTAGGGGTCTTGGAAAAAATCTTCCTGAATATGGTCTGGCAAAGTTCTTTCTTAGCTGATTCTGATGTTTTAATAAAATATGTACTTAAACACTTAAGAAAATCAAGTGTGTCTCTTTGTGAGTCTGTGCACATGAGTGCAGTGTCCACAGAGTCCTGAAGAGGGAGTAAGACACTCTGGAGCTAATGTTCATGCAGTTGTGAGCTACCTGATGTCTGTGTTGGGAACTGAACTTGGGTCTTTTGGAGGAGCAGCACTTGCTCTTAAGTGCTCAGCCATCTTTCTAACCCTCTTTCTAGGACAGACAAAAATCCTAATATTATTTTTCTCAAGGGCAAGGACTTTTCAATGGAGAAGAATTCTAATGCACATGCTTGTTTTTACATCACACACCCACTTGTACTTAAAAAAGATTATATGCCAACTTCAAAGTATCCAAATAACTGTTATGATAATAAGTTATTACAAATATTACAATACAACAAACTATAGGTAATCTTGAGTGGAATCACTGATGCTCAGGCATTTAGAGATTGATAGTCAAGTTACCAAACTACAACACAGTAATTCAGCCTTTCAGTCTGGGGACCCCCATCTCCACAAATAAAAGAATCAGTAAAGAAAGTGAAGAGGAGTTCAAAACTCCTCAGGACATCCCAAGACTAAGTTCTCAGCCCAAAGGAGATTTATTTGCCCCAGAGGGACAAATGGCAGGGAATAAGAGACAAAGACAGGAGACAGAGGACAAAAAGAAAGGGGAAGAAAAGAGAGGGGGAAGGGGTATCTGTTTCCCTGGGATAAATGACTGCCTCTCGATAGAGAGGAGACAGACATGGTCATCAGCAAATGGTGGTTTTTAGAGGTATAAGGTGAAATTCTATGTTAGGATGAGGTATTTAATTGGACATGTTTATTAAGTGAGCCAAAGTGGGATTTTGATTGCTGGACTTTGGTGGTGAGCCTCAGGAGGAGGAAGTGGCCAAATAAGGGAATGGACTGTGCTGGTTAGCTTTAGGAATATAATCTAATTTTTTTTTTTATCAAGACAGAGGGATTGGGAGAAAGGCAAGTCCCTCCAGAGCCACAGGCTTGGGTGGGCCACTGTACCTTCAGAAGTGACCTATGATATTTAGATGGTGGCAGGTGGGAGATGAGGATGTTGAAGCTTTTTCTAGTTACGCAACTATCATATCTGATGGTTGCCATCAAGTGCAATGAGGAAGAGGATCCACTTACACTGCAATTTTTAGGTTTTTATTTTTTAATTATGCAACTCCTCTAGAGCTGGAGTTACAAGTGATTATAAGTTGCCCAATGCAGGCTTAAAACCGAACTCTGATCCTATGGAAGAGCAGATAATGCTCTTAACTGCTGAGCTATCTCTCCAGTCCCACCTGCAACCATTTTCTCTTCTTGACTTCACTTCCTGTCTTCTGATCTCACTTCCTGCCTTCTTACTTGCTTCTTATGTCCCCTTGTGCAAGAGCAGCCATGCGTATAGTAGGTGGCAGAATGCCACTATAGTCACGTTGTCGCATTGTCATGTCTTGATAAGTAGAGGGACTTAGGGAGTGCCTAGAATTCCCGGTCAGGACTCTGGATGAGAGAGGAATACTGTCTTTCTTTAGGGGCCTGAGATGTGGTCTTGTTATGGGGTATGTGAAAAACTACTGTACCTCACTGGGGTTTTTCTTCTAGAATTGAGGCTGAACTTGGTCCAGGAGAGCACCCATGGACTCTCTCATTAACGACCTGCTCTTTAAGGACAGCTGAGGATTGGGAAATACGACTTCACTGATATGAACCTTTGAATGAGGTTCAATGTTAATGAGAATGGTGTGGTTATTTCATCCAGGAAACCCCTTACCACTCAATCTC